ATAAAAAATAGAAAAAAGTCGAAAGTGTTCATTTCACCCCACGCGTAATTTTCCAAATTGCATTAAACTAATAACAATAACAATAAATTATAATTTCTCTGCCTTATTGGTAACTTCAGGAATAAAAATGTCAGTTAACATCAACGTTTCGGCCTCAACTCCGGCGCCTCGGGATAATTGCACATAAAGTTGATTGAACGTTGATTCGCCGCTGCTAATAAAATTATAAACGAAAACAGCTAATACTTCTGGAATTTTCTGTACAAAATGAGTATGGAATCACCCTAATACAGGAATGTCCTATAGAAAATCTCTATACGATTATTTCATACCTGATGGGACGGGTATTTCATAAGTGATTTAAAAGGAAATCGAAGAAGCAGGTGAAAATGAGGATGAGATACTTGCAAGTGAAATGGGGTCGATTTACTGTTAACCACAGGAGCTTGACGTTGCAGGAAATAAATGCATTCACAGCGAGAGTGGATGATCCCGCGGGCGGGGGGGAGGTTGAGGTAAAAGTATAGGTGCATCTTCCGGCCCAAGCGACTTCCAACCGAATAATTCACGTCTGAGACCTAATGAGAGCTTTGTTGGTGCGTCCTCTTCTGACGTCAAGATGCACCTCTGGGAGCCAGCAATCAGCATGAAATATCACCGGATTAAATTTGTTTTTTAAAAGCGGATGGAACACCTCGTTTAAACTCGAGTGAAGAAGTTTTGGATTGAAAAAATAGACGAGTCTCTGAGAAAGTTGTGGACAGCATTCGAGGGTTGAGATAAAACGGTGAAAGCCCGTCGCCCTTGTGCGGTCAACTCCTCCAATTCAAGGTCACTCTCCCATTATTCGCATTATTTTTTATTCATTTTTATTTTGTCTTGCCAATTTGGATAAGATTGGACGCTTCGCTTGGGAAAAATATGGCGCAACTGGAGAAATGCGATAGGGAGGAACGAGGCAAGTGGCACGACGTGTTCCATGTAATGGGAGAAACAAAAAATTTGAACGAGGAAAAATGCGGGAGTTGGGGAATTTCACGGCTTGTTTGTTGTCTACGGTCATTGAGGATTGTTTTTGTTTGGTTGTTCTTGAGGGGTTTCCTTCAGCTCATTGAGTAATTGATGGTTATTGAGTACAGTGGTATAGAGACATGTACAAAGAAATAATTTATTTGAATTATATGAATGGGTTTAGCTGGATAGCGCGTAATGAGGAGTTTTTTCGAAATTAAAGTTCACTTCTGCTTGCGTTTTTATTTAACTGTTTTTTCGGTAATTTAGATACAGAGTTTATTAGTTATGAGTGGTATTGTTATTCGGACGGTGAAGGGAGCGAATTTCTCGACATGTAATAATGAATAAAAATGTTTTAGTCAAGGGGATTAAAACATTTTTATTAGATCGCTTAATATGAAGCAGATAGGAGAGATAACAAGTCCCAAATTATTTATTCCAAACAAATAAGAATGAACTGTTGGAAAATTTCTCTTGAAATTTTAAGCGAAACATTTGGAAACTTTGAACAAATCCTAATTTTTGGAAAATTATTCGGAATCGTGAAGATCTAGGCAGTTCTTGCTGTGAATGCAAAGTTTATTGAAAATTCAATTGAATTCCACGTACAATTAAAGCGTAATTGAAACATCATCCCTCAAACGGAAATTCTTTCAACTTGAGGATTTTTTTTTTACAAGAAATTAATTTTTAATGAGATTGCGAATAATGAAAAATTTGTGAAGAGTAAAAAAATGGTTTGCCATTTTTAAAAATTGACTTCAAATTCATATGGCGGAAAACCAAGCAGCAAAAAAATTCCACGCACAAGATCAAATCATATTTGTTATTTATGTTGATTAAGTATTATTTGTTCGCAATCCGCATACCCAATTTTCCTCGAATTTTCCCCCATCTACGTGAATAATCGATTACCATCGAGTGCGTAGTTCGATAACGATTGGGTAAATAATTTTTTACGAGACAAAGAATAATCCGGAATGCATATTCCGATCGTTGATTAAATCATTTGTTTTTACTGGGATTTGCGCAGTGAATGGGTAATTGTTGTTAAGAATTTTTGTCAAGTCGGAGTGATGATGCGGAACACCTTGACTCGAGTCATTGATTAATTGGGAAGCATTTCCGGGGTCATCAGGAGTGCGGCTAGCCACTAACGCGTTATCAGAAAAATCAGCTGATCACTGAAGTGGCGACAGATCGGGTATAATGAGCCCTTCCGTAATCCAACTGTTCGTGAAAAAAATGAGGAAATGACAGGTGACAAAGTATTCGAGGATCAAATCTTGAACTGAAGCAGTAGTGTCATAATGATGGCAAGAAAAGTCTTTCGTGCTGAGACAAATGAAAAATTCAATTACATAAAAAGCTGCTTCCTTTACGTGATGTTACAACTGTATTTCTCGATGATTATGAAAGTATAATCCTGTGCGGAGGGAAAAAAGGAGAAAAATTACCGAACAAATCGCGCAGTCATGGAGGGGAATTTATTTCTAGGTCTTTTTCACCCTAAATCGGCGGATGAATGCGCGACGCGTGGTAAAACTATTCGAATGGAACTGAAAAATTGACCCGAAATGTAATTTTTGCATCTGGATATAATTTTTTTTACCGAACGAATTGTAAGATGTCCTTTAGAAGAAGTATTGTTCATCGAATTCCATTTTGCAAGCAGAGAGAAATGGTGGATGAAAATTACCTAGAAAATCGTGGCAAATTTCGTGGCAAATTTTTTTTTTACTGTTGAAATTTTTTGAAAACTAAGCAATAGTTGCACTTTAAATTCTCAATGATGTGAAGCTGAATTTAATTTAAGATCAAATCGTTGATGGAATATTTCATTCAGTTTGGAAATTCAGAATAATTGGGTTTTCCATGTTACCTTATCACTGATATTTCAATGGCATCTAGAATTTTCAAATTCATTGCGGAAATTAAACATCACATCCACCTGAATTTTCAGTCGTTTGAAAATTCAGGGAAATTGTTGCCTGAATTTTCCAATTATTTTGTAATTTTCATTATGTTGTGCACCTGAAAATTGCAATTACATTAAATACTCCAGAATTCAACTGATTTTTTAATACCAAAATACATGAAAATTTCGTATGAATGAGTGAATTCAGTGAAAAATATCTATTTGTTGAAGATATTTCACGATTCGTTCGTTAAAAATTATCATCTTGTACAGTAAAATTTCCCACTCTTGTAGGGTATTTTTTTCGAACTGAAACTTTACCGAACGCGTTCGGTAAAAAATTATTTTCCATTACAGAAAAATTGTACGCAATTATAATATAATTTTTACTGGAATGCAGAGTGAATTTCACTATTCGTCTCGCCCTTTTTTCCCGATATTAAATTAAATGAAATGCAGATAATTCTTCTGCAACTTGTTCCCCCCCTGTGACGATTCTTTCTACCAATCACTACTGTGGGAAACTAAAATTCTGGAATGAGCAAGACCTGGATACGTCGACACAATGGGTGACAGTTGACCCCATGAGGATGCACCCTAACGGTTTTTCAAAGTTCAAGCAAGCGAGAGGATTCTCCACGGAGGATCAAGGCCAAGATAGCAATATCGACGTCAATACCCCATAGGGAATATTCATCCTCGGAATGAGAGGGACAAAGGAAGGAAAATTAAACCGGTTGTGTCTGCCTCAAAATTCCCCTTTTTTCTCTTTGTTAGATTCAAATGATTCAAATTCGCTCCGACGACTTCTGCTGTATCATTGCAAGAGATGTGTGTTTTTCGGAGGGATGTAAAAAAACAACCATAACACAGATTATAAAAAACTGTTATTCCAAACTGAAAGATGCTAATTCACTATGACTTTGTTCAATAATTATTCCTGTGGTTTTAAAAACCCGGTGTTTTTCCCCTATCGTTGATTCACAACATTTTCAAGAATGGCTATTTACCATAAATGCAGACTATCATTCATTGACGGGATGAATGGAACGTGTTTTTAAGAAACCCGTGGCGAATTTGGTTTTCTGAAGTCACATGTGCAAACATCGTCCGGTCATTCTCACACTTTCGTAAAGCAAAATTTTCCAACTGTTACATCAATATCGAACGACTCGCGAGGATTGGAAATTCCTTATTGCGCAATTATTCGTGATAAACTCTTCGATTCTGAATATAATAAAAAAATTTATCAAATGGTACGGCGGTTAGATTGAAAGGTATTAAATACTCGCTCGTGGAAGAACCCCGAGAAAAATGTGAAAATTATCTTATAATCAGCATACATTATCCAGGAAATTCTCGTGTTTACAATTTTTTTTATTGGGTTAGTGACGTCTAACGAATTCAATTCCTGCTCTGATATATTGCATATGCATTTCTAGTGCGCAAAGGATGCTGTGAGATAACAGAGCCAACCACCGTTGGTGCAAAGATCGAGGACGAAGCAGTTGTTGTTCCTCTTTTTTGTTGACAATGTGTCATTTATCATTTGAAAATGTTTTTTTTTTCAATTTTTTGGAGACGAATTCTTGATATTCGAGAGTTTTGAGGGGATTCAAGTATCTTTTGGATACTTTACATTATCCGATGTGTCAACTGAATTATTTTTCCTTAGAAATTCACTTCTCATGAAAATCATAAAGAAAGCAAAAAGCAAAAGAGAAACGAAGATGAAGATTATGACGACTCTTTTCCTCAAACTTCAAAAACCTTCTAACAGCGAAATGAAAACAGAAAAATGTCCATTCCGCCGAATTACAAATATCAATCGCTGCATGACGAAATTGAAAAACCCCAGAAAACCGGGGGATTAACGCGTGGCTCTTTGACACGAGCCTCAAGGTGAGTAGTCCTCCTCCATCTCTCGTCTCCCCCAGCATCTCCCATTCCCCTTAATGACGCAGGTGCACCGACCAAAGGATCAAGACAACACAGTTGGGGGACACGTGATTTCCTTTATATCACGGCACTCCACCGATCTCACCTCATATAAGTGTCTCACCCTACGTAAGTACCAGTGCTCAGAGTCACTCCGCTCATGTCGATGATTTGTTTACTCGAGTTGAAGTTGATTGTCAAGGTGGTGTCGGTGATGCTGATGTCAATGGGAAAGCGAAGCGAGTCGCTGTAGAGACTATCGAAATATTTTCGGCACATTTCTAGTCGGCATATTAAAGCAGGCGGATGAGACTCTTTCGTCAAGCCATCAGTGTTCATATTTTTGTTTATTGCGAGATTCTCGGTGACAACTGCCTTCGCGGCTCGTTAAATTATGTGTTCAACTTTCTAGCAACAAAACAACCGCTTTATTGCCGAATGTGATGAACTTTTCTCCAAAACCCGAGAAACCGGTACAATTTCTGGAGTAAAAACGTGAAAGTGAACTCGGCGATATTTTTCTATTGTGAACTTCCATTGTGGCGAATTTCGGGAGTAGAGGGACTTGTGATTGAGGAAGGAACTGTGGGACTTTTGCGGCGGCTTTTGGATATCAGAGAATACGTGAGTAATCATTTTTAATATTGAGGCATTTCGGCAATCGTATGAGTGAATTTAATTGCAATTCAATGTCTGAACATTGTGAATGAAATTGAAAATTCAGTTGAATGCCCTTTTTAAGGTCACAATGGATTCGAAAATTCCAACTGTAATTGAAATTTCATTAATCTTTTAGAGTTGAATTTTGTTGAGTTTTCTAGATGAATGAAAAATCCATGACGATTTTTTTTGAAATTTAGTTCAAATCCATAAGCTGGTACTTAAAGTTCTAATAGTGCAATGACAACAAAAAAATCATGTCTATTTCGATGAATCGAAGATGCTCTGCTATTTTTTTTTATAAGAAATTAAAATTAAGTAAATTTTTTTTAAAGGCGAGACAATAAACACCTTGATATTTTTCTAATGTGAGCTTCCACTGTGGCGAAATTCGGGAGTCGTGTAACTTGTGGTTAAAACCCGAACATTATTGGGACATTTTACAATGGCTTTTGGATATCGGAAAACACCTGAGCAATTTTTTTGAACATTAATGCATTTCGTCAACTCGAGGCAATCGAAGCCGGAGATTGGGCAAGCGGAGGCGGTCCCCTTAAATCCTAAGGAGATTCAAAATTAGCGAACGCATTTGCAGTCCAATGATTTCAGCAGGCATGATTATATGTGTCGATATGAGTCGAAGGTGAATGCAATTCGTTTTCAATTCTGGGTCGAGTCGAGTTTATTTTTCCCAGACATTCCACGCTAAATAATTGCAGCCATTGTTGCATAATTGTTTTGAAATTTGATGAAAATTGATTTTCGTAAACGTACTATTTTTTCGCATTTTCATCCGAGAGTTGAGAAAAAAATTAAAATAAAGAATTAAATTCCGCTCAGTCCACACAAATGGATATAAAAGTAGAAAAATTCGGTTAAATATATTTTTGAATATTCAGGTAATAGAATTCAATAATTTAGTGTTGAAATATATTTTGATTTTAAATTCAAGAATTCTCGTCCTCCGAATTCCCTGAATTTTCAATTAATTTGAAATTGAATTATTTCCCCTCCCCAAATTGAATTTAATGTGCTCTCCTAAAAATGAGTAATGAATTCGTCATGAAATTTCAATTCCTAGTGGCGTATCGTAAGAAAATACTTGACATCGAGTTCATTAAAATCCAGCAAAACTGTACCCGATGGTACATCACCAATTGCCTTCAGTGAAGTCCCACTTTGATCATTAAATCCTCATCTTATTCCCTAGTAGCTCACCCCGCTGTTAAGTTTAATATGCGTGCCCTCAAAGATAAACCGTAAAACATTGCCACTTCTCGCATTTCTCCACATTCATAAGTGCAATAATAAAACTCTATGGGTATTTGCTCGATGTTCATCGTCTATCCAGTGTTGTCCACTCACATTTCTCCCCGAAAGATCATTGCATTAAAATCGTATAACGTCATCCGAAGGTCGTGACTCTCCTTTCTTTTCACAAAAATCACCAAACAACGTTGAGTGTGGTTTTGTTGCCTTGGAGACGGAGAACAGTTGAGACACCTCGCACTTGATCGTGATTAGGAGCACGTAGGGCATCATGGGCAGACCCTGCATGTCAAAATGTATAATTCAGGGGAAAAATGATTATGAAATTTCGGTGTGAGATGTATTTTATTGATTTTCAGATCATTCAAAAGTAAAATCAATGAAATATTTGATTTTTCAATTACAAGATCTTCTGAAATTTCAGAATAAAATTCCGAATTGAAATTTTATTGAACGCGTTCGATAAAAAATCATTCTCCGTTACAGAAAAATTATTCGCAATATTGAGCAATCATTCATGTTTACTGAGATAATTTTTGGTAGAATGCAGGGTAAATTTTGCAGTTTTGAGACAAATTACCCTCACGTTGAGTAAATTTTCCCGGGCCAACGGAGAAAAATTTGCTATTCGTTTCACATTTTCCCCCGAACTATTTCCTCCGTGTGGTGTAATTTTTTCTGCAATTCCGGCCAAATTTTACGGTTTAAGGACAAATTACCTTTAGGCATGGGAAATTGTCCGTAGCCAGAGGATAAAAATTCGCTATTCGTCCTAGAAATGAACTCCACGATTACCTGATTTCTTTGGTAATTTTTCTCCATTCGTCGAAATAACGTAGAAGAAAATCCAATCCCTGTTTTATTGATCAACACGCAATAATTCTTCAGCCTTGGGTACCTGAGAATTTAGCAACTGGATGTTTGCAGACCTTGTCTCTTTATTCCATCCTCAGCCTCTCCGTTTTCAGGCCCGTGCAGTGCACGCGGGGGTTAATGTGCCAGAGTTTAGACCGCGGTCAGTGAGTACGCGCCGGAGAAAATGAAAATCGAGTTATAAGTTTAATGATACGGTTTAATGTACCCGTTCTTTATAAGTTTCACGATCTGTATTGCGTAATGTGTGGCCGATTGGCGGACAGAAAGTCTAGCTAATTGCTGTTCCCACAAGTGTAATTGCGGTTCTATGCATCCGTAATTTTTCGAATTTGGAGCGTTGAAAAAAATTTATATTTTGTAGGATCTAGTTGCAAAATGTTACAACAATGTATTGTGTTGAACGAATAGTTTTAGTCATTCCAGAGTGATTTTTCAGAAATATTGCAACGAAAAAAATTAATGAACAAAGACAGAATTGAAATAAAATCTCTAAAAAATTACAACAATGAATTTCATAGAATGAAAAAGCTTTGATAATCTGGGAGTTATTTTGCATTGAAAACTGCTCTTCAATTATAATTCACACCCTCATGGAGAATTAAAAGAAAATAATAACATCACAATGAAGACAAAAATTCCAAGAATAAATTTAAATGAAAGAAAAATTCTGAATAATTTGAGATTGATTTTCCATTTGAGAATATTTCCCAGTAATACTCCTCATCCTCAGGAAGACAATCCCTAAGATACTCCAGCAATATAAAAATATTGAAACCAAACCCTCAACAATTTTGAACAATAAATTCCGGTGAATAAAAAATCTTTAAATAATTCAATAAACAAAATTTCATTTTCCCAAAAAATTCCTAACACCTCCATAACGATTTTCCATTTATGGATGCTATTCCCCCACAATTCCCATCCTCAGCTACAACAATCCCTAAAATATTATCAATAAAAAAGCGCAGTAAATACCAATAAAAACAATATAAAATGCAAACCCTCAAAAATTTCGGCGATAAATTCCCCCCAGTAAAAAAATCTCAGTAATTTGAGACTGATTTGTTATCAGAGGATGTCGTTCACTCGCACTCGTCGTCCTCCAGTGCCCAAAATCCCTAAACCATCTCATTAAATATTCAAAGCCCCGCACAGAGATGAGATAAAAATCGCAAACGGTCTCTCTTTCATGTTCGGAGTGGTTTGCAGTTAACCAGGTACCAAACGTATTTTACCCTACCACTTCTTCGGGGGGGGCCTCTCCTGGCGAACCGGTGAGCAGCCACCGACGTTGGGGCACCCGTCAGTGATTGCTGCCCGGTGTGTTCACCACACCGTGGTCCACCGCGCTACAAATCCCGGCCATATCCACGCTGTTGCGGGACACCTTTCGGCATGCGCAGGTCGCTGCGCGCTCTTTCCGAAAGTTCCATTCATACTTCGATCCTCAACTCCAACTGATTCTCCCGAATCAGGGATAAATTGAAATAATCAGCTGATCATCGGCGGGTCCGAGTGATGCTCCATCTCGTTTATGTGTGGAAAAATAAACTGTCATTGATGGTTATTTCTTCCAATCAAGTGCAACATTTCTCGGTCCCCAAGTGATTTTTAAAATCCCCGCAATTACTCGGAGAACGAAAAACGCGAACAACTTGCTGTGAAGTAAATAGAATTGATTGCTGATGGGAATGGATGGGTGCAGAATCGTAAATAAAATCATCGCGGAAGAAACGGTTAATTATTGTGCATCGGTGCTAGCAGCCGACCGGTACATTGCTCAAATGAGTGTGAAGAGTGGTGAAGGATCTCTCTCCGTTCTGAAATAACCGATATCACTTTATCCTCGTCTCGTTTATTCGCATCTGCTCCACATGGTCCTCCGCTTTGCAATGCATCGAATATTTTTGACAATGTGTATGTGAAATGTACGCGCGATAACACTGCGGGCGGCTTTTCCGTTAGAGAAACTTGGTGTCTTAATGCCCCCCAGGAGAACGCGACCGATGGTCGTAGCCCGTTGAGTTACATAAAGAACGGATTGGATCTTACCCGGGCTGTTAACGAACCCGGTGGTACACTGCTCTTAAGGAGCGTCCAACTGTATTACGTAAGTCAATAACACTTGTACTTTTTCTCGTCGATGGAATCTTCAGTGTCAATTGTATTTTTTTCTTTTTTTTTGCGAAAAAAATTGAAAAAAATTTGTTGTATTCTCCATTTTTTGAGTTGACTTTTTATTTTATTGGATCTGTAGGAGGATTAAATTGGGAACACTTGTACTTTTTCTCGTCGATGGAATCTTCAGTGTCAATTGTATTTTTTTATTTTTTTTTTGCGAAAAAAATTGAAAAAAATTTGTTGTATTCTCCATTTTTTGAGTTGACTTTTTATTTTATTGGATCTGTAGGAGGATTAAATTGGGAACACTTGTACTTCTTCTCGTCGATGGAATCTTCAGTGTCAATTGTATTTTTATATTTTTTTTTGCGAAAAAAATAGAAAAAAATTTGTTGTATTGTGCATTTTTTGAGTTGACTTTTTATTTTATTGGATCTGTAGGAGGATTAAATTGGGAACACTTGTACTTCTTCTCGTCGATGGAATCTTCAGTGTCAATTGTATTTTTATTTTTTTTTTTGCGAAATAAATCGACAAAAATTTGTTGTATTCTCCATTTTTTGAGTTGACTTTTTATTTTATTGGATCTGTAGGAGAATTAAATTGGGAACACTTGTACTTTTTCTCGTCGATGGAATCTTCAGTGTCAATTGTATTTTTTTATTTTTTTTTTGCGAAAAAAATCGAAAAAAATTTGTTGTATTCTCCATTTTTTGAGTTGACTTTTTATTTTATTGGATCTGTAGGAGGATTAAATTGGGAACACTTGTACTTCTTCTCGTCGATGGAATCTTCAGTGTCAATTGTATTTTTTTTTTTTTTTGCGAAATAAATCGACAAAAATTTGTTGTATTCTCCATTTTTTGAGTTGACTTTTTATTTTATTGGATCTGTGGGAGAATTAAATTGGGAGTAGGGGGGGCGAGTCAATCATATTTGTTGAAATACCTCAGAATATCGGGAAGGTATGATTTTTGAAAGGATGAAAATGTTTTTCAGTCGACTTCGGGAAATTTTAATTCTCTGAATTAAATTTTTTTAGCGATTCGAGGATGATTCACATTTTTTCTCGAATTTAATTCAATAACAGTGCATAATAACGTATTCTTTAATGAATAAATGAATACATGAAAATCATGAATAGTGTGCATAAACCACTAGTCAATTTATGCCCACGCGAAGCGCGCTCTCTTTCCTAGGTGAATAAAATCAGTTGATTTCTGGAATATTCAATGGAATGACAATTCTTAGAGGCATATAACAATGAAAATTATTGGAAATTTTGACAATTCGGGGAACTGTGGTTCTGGATTTTTAATCTATTGAAAATTCATTTCTTTTTAATATCAAATTTTCAGAATGAATTTGAACATTCAAGTTTGCATTCAAAATCAATAGAAGTCGCTTAACATGGAAAAGTGATTTAAAAAAGTGATTAAAAAGTTATTTAATCACTAATTTTTAAACTAAAGTTAACTTGTTGAGTTTACACTTCAACAAGTCTATTCTTTAAGGCTTAAAAATCAGATTTGACCCTATCGAATCAAAACTATATCATTAAGTCAGAAGATGTGAATAATTTAAAAAGATTCCCTGAACCTAAAACGTAAAAAAAATCTCCATTGTGCCCCTGCATGTTATTACACCGATAAAATGACGAAATTTCGCAAGGACACAAATATTGTGGTTTTGGGAATGTTCTCACAAGGATATTACTTTCCAATCCCAGTCTCGGAGCTTCACGAAAAGGTCGAGTTGTTGCTGAAAAATTTTCAACTCAATTTTCTCCATAATTCCGGAGGGACCGGCTGCCGCGGTTATTCCGATGATTGCAATGCATTCGCGATGGAGCTTCTGCAGAAAAAAAAACCGGTAAACAATAACGGTGGGTGAAAATCATGTAGCATGAAAAAAACGCGCACGGTCTGAGGTTTGTCGTGACCTGTCAACTGATGAATATGCCGAGGAACTGTGGAAAATGAAGAAACTTGGACGTAAAAACGTATATGGATGATTTTTTTCCAACAGTCCAGTGATTACACGTTGTTTTTTTTTGGTTTTATTTGCTCGTGTTGAAGGGCAACCTGAATACTCGAGAATTGATCCGATCAATTCCATTCTCGATGGAGATTCAAGGGAGACCAGGCGAATAAATGTGGGTCAATGCATTTTTGTTGGTTCTGCCGCTCGCAGGGGGACAGATCTACTTCAATTAAACTGGTATTGGAGTCGTCAGGAGTTTTGAACTTTTAGAAATTGTCGCGTAGAGAATATTCTAGATCGACTAATTCTTCTCAATTGCAATCACTTGGAGGATTTCGGGGCTCATGATGTCGAATGGGAAATATTTTCCTTAGGTGGAGGACACGAAATTTGAGAATGACATTGAATTTTATTCAGGAGGGGGGAGGATAATTATAAAATGTTGAATTTCACTTGACATTCAACATAATTTCAAATTTTTAAACAAGAAAAAAATAAGAATTTCCCAACTTGTGTGAAATTTCAATCAAATTTGAAACACAATAAATTAATTAATAATAAATAATTAGAAATCAATCAATGAATCCTTTTTACGAATGTTTTGTATACCTGAATTTCCCGGAATTCTCTCAATTTTCATGGAATAATTGAACTTAAATTTAATTTTCCATTGATTTTTTCATTAACAAAATTCCTTGAAATTTCAGTGGAACTATAGCTGACTAGAAATGTCAAAAGATTAGAGCCAAGAATTATTCACAACGCAATTACTAAATGCAAATTGTCACAAACATATCTTTGACTGCATGAATAAAGCGGTTTCAACGAAGAAACGCATGCAGAAATAAAATATTGCAGTTACGAATTGCAGAATCACGTTAGAAGACCCAGTAGTCAATTAATGGTATCATAAAAGAAAGGGCGAGCACCGAAATGAGCCGAGCGTATCGTCGGTAGCTCACCTGGAAAAAAAAATACGAAGAATTTCATTTCCTCAGAATGAAATGGTTTTCCCGGCGTTCGCGGAGTCGCTCCCGTCCTTCAATCATTACCTCCACAGAGATAAAGACCTCAGGCAAATGCATTTCACTCCAGCATGTGCACACACTACACATTACGTGGACAGGAGAGGGTTCAGCCCATTCTTTGCCTTCATTCTTTTTTTTCTTTCAATCTCGCTGCTTTTGAAATAATCTTGAGCAATGGCCAACATACCTGATGGCTCATTTTGAATTTATTGGAGTTTAGTGTAGTCTGGAATCCCAGAGTTATCTGATTCTCATTCTGCAGTCTGATGTTGTAGAATATTTCGTAATGACAATTTTCATTTCATTTGGCAGGGAGCCAACAGCCAAATTGATGCGTTGTCCTTTGTTTATAATTTTATTGATGTAAATTAATTAATGGAAGTGGAGATTGGAGCATTTTATGACGTCTTCAGATGTGGGAAGCCGTAAAGGTGAAAAAAAATTAGTTTCAGCATCAAAACATGAACATTCAGTAACAAATAACAATTGAAGAATATAAATTCCCAGAATTTTCATGATTTCCATCAATTTTCTGGGAATAATTGCAGATAAAATTTACTTTCCATTAATGGAAAATTCATGAATAAATTTTGCAAGGTCTTCCTGATTTCTATTAATTTTCATGAAATAATTGACTTGCAATTTACAGTTGTCGTTGATTTTTCCATAAAATTCCCGTGAAACTATAATGCGATAAAAATTTACAAGAAGTGTACCGGAAATTTCAGGCATTTCAGTGATAAAAGCTTCATTGCTCGTGACTAATTGAACCACGAGATATTTCCACCAAAAAAAAATGTTCTCCTGTCGCATCATTAGCCATTTTCCCTTGAGGAATGCACCTCCGTCCCACTTTTACGCCTGATTATCAGAGCATTAACCATTAAAAATCATTTTCATTGTTTCAATATTTAACGATGATTGGTGAAGAAGGGAGTGAGAATAACATAAATACACTTTGGATGAGTGCTTTCATGGAAGCCATTAGCTATTCTTCGTGTCATTTTAATGACTAAAAGCCGACAATGACGGATATTCACTAATCATCACTTGAATTTTGGAATTCAGTCATAAAATGTAAAAAAAAAACGATAATTTATGCGATATTTGATCACATTTACGTGGACAGCGGAGTGATCCTGATGTCACAGTATAAAAGTCACGACCCCAAACCCAATGAGGACAATTATCCTGAAAGTAACACTTTCTGTGAATTATGGATTTTTTTTCCAACAAGTATCGATTATTCCGGTCTGTTCGCAGCCTAATGATGCCACGTGGCGCGCATTCAATGACTCTTGTCTAAATAAAGATGATCTTTCAACATTTGACGAGGAATTTCAGAGTCAAAGTGCATGAATTATTGAAAATTTCTGAGAAACACTACAGCTGCATTCCAAAAATCATCACCTGATCGTGTCGCCAATTATCATTACGGTTTATGAGATTTTCTAAGTCGCAATGGGGACAACACTATCGTTAAGGATGTGCAAGTACGTTCGTCATCCTTGTTCTGCTGAAATCATATTCTACATTAATAGGGGAACTTCGGAGTCTCCATTCAATAATTGACATTTTACATTGATTTTATATTATTGAAACTTTAAAGGCATAAATTTTATTCCTGGACACTACCACCTTTTCTTTGTAAATCATTTATAAACAATCAATTTGTTTGTATATCATTGCAAAAGATGAGATTTTCAGAAGTTAAAAATGTTTCAATTATTCAATTATTCATTTGTAATTCTTTTCAACCGTTGAAGTTGAATATGAGAACCCCCACAGAAGCAAAATTATGTCATCAGTAATTTTTTATCATACCTAAACTTAAATTTCAAATACTAAAAATCGGGAAAATTTACAAATTCTACTTTATAATAAAATAATAATTTTTCCAGCTCGGCAATAATTTCTCCAAATCCACAATATATTTATTTACATTCAGAATATTTCCACATCAATTTCGCAAAAATTAAAATTAATTTTTTAAAAATTAATTTAAAAAAGTAAAATTTCCGTAAATGAAAAATTTTGCATCATTATTATTCGAACTTACGATGACTATTTTATCACAAATGAATGATTACTTCAGAGATTTACATTTTCCTTCGACTTCGAGTCTGAATCTAGTGCTCTGAAGTTTCTTATTCCTTCGTGAAAAAGTCGCCGAAGTTCATTGCCCCTGGTCGTCTCGATCACATCGCCACAGTCTCTGATTAATTAGACTAATTGGCTGAAAGTCGCAATTTAATTAGGCGTGATTTATTTTGTTTCAGACCGGACGAGTCACTCGAAACATTCACAGTCCACCACTACTGCCGAGTCTCCTCGAAATATCGCAATCCTTTCCGGATCGTGACAGGCAAAACTCTTCTGGTGGACAGGGGAGGACGAGCGAATGAGGAATCAAAATTTCCGTCGATTCCCCAACTGATAGTTCGATGAGAATCACTCGTATTGTTATGATACAATGTTGGGTGAAGTGACATAAACGATGAAACCAGATCGCAAACAGTTATGAAATGATTGCAACGTGACAGTGCAACGGCTGCGAGTGATAAATGAACTTGAATTAATTTTTCTTGAATCAACTTTTTTCTCCGGAGGAATAATCGTCGAAGTAGTCTTGTTTGCCGGACAACAATAGACAAAATAGACTGGAGGAGCACTAGGGACGCTAGAAAAATATAAATAAAGGAACCTCCGGTTTTGTGGTAGACGGAATAATTTAGTGAATAATTGTGAATTTGGAGGGCGGGTGGGAAGTTTTATTCACACGGATTTCCAGTGTTTTCGGGACAATCGAATAATAGAATATCAAGATGAAGTTTATCAGTCACTTGTTCGGGGTGGGATCCCCCAAGAAGATGGGACGACAGTACATGAAGGTCGGGAGGAATGCCCTTTTCGGAATCAGGCCCAAGGACGAGGGCGAAATGTGCCCCGATCGAGTGCCAAGACCTATTAACGTCATTATTTCGAAGAAGGGGAAATTCAGACACAGTAAGTGCATCAATTCCATTATTTTTCAATTGATTTCTTCGTTTATTTAGTGATGAAGATTTTTTATTTCTTGAACTACTTTTTTTATCTACGGGTTTTGTTTTGAAAATGGGAAATTTGAGGAGAAAAACAATCGTAAGAGACGAGAAATTACTGGCAAGACAATTTTTTCTGCACCCTGAGGAATAGTTTACGTGCGTTTGTTAGTGACATTAAATAAAAGGTTTTTTAAATGGGAATTTCATGAAAAAAAAATTGGACGAGGTTAGAAATTGAAGAATATTTAATCATCTTTTATTCGCATGAAATAAATCACTCATTTGATTGCAATTTACGATTCATTTGGAATTAATGGATTATTCATTTCATGTAATTGAAGCATTTTCACTAAAATCAATATAAAAATTAATTAATTTCGATCAAATATGTTGTCCAAAATTTGGACAATATATTTTTAGGTTTTTTTTGGAGCCCAAATGAATAAATAAACCTAAAATCCAGAGTTTTCCTGTAAAATCACGCATTATTCCGATTTCTTTTAATTCATAGGTAAATAATAGAGTTAAGTTATTCCCGAAGACAATTATCACATTATTTAGCCACTTAAAAGGTATTTTAAAATCGACTGTAAGATTAAAATCATCAATATCCGAAATATTAAAATCACTTTAACATTCAATCTTCGATTCCCCCCCGCGACATCCCAGATAATTTCAATTTAATTGAATCTCAAGATTAAAATGCTCAACGCCGGGGCATGTAATAGGTGAATTAAATAATCTGTGCATCAGTAATGCATCCTACCTTTCTTTGTCCATGCTCACCAAGCGCAAACGCGTGCTCAGAATTCCCAAGTGTTTTTCTCTCTCACCTCTCCGTACTGAGATCTGTAAGATCTCAAGTGAGATAACATCTCAGTAAATACATTATTCCGCAGCATTTCGTTGGCGCAATAGTTTTCGCTTAAAAAATACTCCTGGACTGTTCTATGAACTCAGAAAAGGATTTCCTCGGGAAAAAAATAGGCCAAACTACTGGGAAATCCTTAATTCCTCCGGGTGGATCTTAAATGAATGAGACAAGAATCTTTCATCTCGCTTGATCTTTATTCGTCATGAGGACAATTTTTCGGGAGATAATGACGGAAAATCTATGCCTGAATCATTTGTTTACGCGACGTCCGCTTGGGAGCATGAGAGCAAAGCTCAAAATATCCGAGGAACGCGTGTCACGGGGGATCGAGGGAATTCCTCGGGAGAACGTTAGCCTTGACTCATTCACGCAACACCTGATATTAAACCCCCCACAGGTTTATCGATGTACCTTCACTTGAAGGAGAATCACTTGTTTCAGGTTTCGTAATTTCATTACTGATCAACTTTTCGGATGTCTGGCGGACACTGTTGCGTCATAAGGGAGGGTTGACCGAGAAAAACCAGAATGCATGACCTAAAAATTGGGCATTATGCCGCCGGACGGATATTCAGAGTTTAATTAAAAAGACATTAAGCATTCTTTTCTTTACCTTTTTTGTCTGCCGCAGACAGAATGGATTATTGAAAATCTTTGGCTGAAATTTAAAGTAGAGTTCTTGATAATTTTTGTTACATTTTAGTTCTGAATTTTAGAGGAATTTCAGGGGAAAAATGCGAAATTTTATTAAGAAATCAATGGAAACTGCAAAATTTACTTCAATGATTTTATAAAAATAAATAGATATCGGGAAAATTCAGGTGAGTGTATTCGTGAATTAGAATTAATAATTGGAAATTCAGCGTAATTTGGCACTGAATACTCATGTTTTCATTGAAAACTCATTAAGTTGGGGAATTCTCTGGAATTGCATAATTTTTCCCCTCAAATAAAATTCAATGTCAGTCTCCTGAAAATTACTAGTCAACAGTCTATTAAATTTCAATTTTTTTTCTCACAATGTAACAATTTATAAGAGAGTGACATCAAATTTAATTGAGGGAGAAAAGACTGATGAAATTTCAACAATAATTCAAGTGAAAAGTAGAATAGACATGAACAGAGTAGAATTAAATAGTAGACATAAGACAAAGATTTCGCAAATTACTTGAATTTTTAAAGGAATCTTCATACAAAATATTAAATTGACCTGAATTTCCCGGATGATCCTTAATTTTCGCAGAATAATAAAAAGAAAATTAACAGTTTCCATTGAATTTCCAATCAAACAGGCATTTTTCAATGCGGAAATTCCCTGGAATTCCAGTGGAAATGTCATGCGTTAAAAATTTCCAACATTTAATCCCTCGGGAATATCATTTTCAGAAATGAAATTAATCTTTTCTTCCAATTGAATTTTTCTTATTCTTGGATTTATTACTCGATGCGTGAACATTGTAGCTGTCTACTGGAAAAATATATACTTCACTCAATAACATTCACTTCACATAATCTATCACATAATTTTAAGTGGAACTAATGCATTCAGCCGACAGAAGTGTCAAAGAAAAAATTCCACGGAAGGTATTGAGTTTTTGTGGGGCATGTCTATAACTGAATTGATTCAACACCTCGACCGTTCTTTCGCATGAAACATTTTGTTTTTATTAAATAGGTTTCCTCTCCCAACGAAAAACAAAGAATGAATATTAATCACCCCCGAGTGCAGCGGAAAGGATCAATTCACTTCCATTCACTGAGTGGATAAAGCCGCAGTTGAAACATTCACAAAAAGCAAAATTTATTCTCATGAATGGGATTTTTAATATTCAAAAAGTCGCATGCAGGCGCGTGGACGACTTTTTATTCAGTACGAGGAAAGAGCAGGCGTCAAATTGAGATTTCCTCGACGTTTTTGCTGAAATCAACGATCTGAGTGATAAAATATTCATCAAACTTGACATTTCCTGGACCTTGAGAATTAATTATTTGGAAATACAAGAATGTCAGAAGGATCGGTCCAGCCTGCGTTATATTATGAGTCAGGTATCCCTCGAATTTATGAACTTTAATTGTCCCGGGATTCAATCTGGCATTGAATATTTCAGATGTTGATCATCTCACCTATTTTCGTCTACATTAACATAAAGACGCGCGGAATGATGCAAATGTTTCCTCGCAAGAAGTCAGTTAAAAACATGAGTGACCTAATTGAATCCAACGAAAGACATTTACAACCAGAAAAAGCTTCGGCTCCGTTTCCACATTTTTCCACACTAATAAAAGAAACGTTACCCACTGTGTAGTAACCGTTCTTACACGCATTTTGTCTTGACCTTTCTTAAGAATCGGAGCGTCGCCCTCATAAAATGCTGTCATTAATTCTTCCCTGAGTCGCAATGGGAAAAACTATGAAAATAATTTTTATAAAAAAATTACTCACAGCAAGATAAAATCTAAAGTTGATCCCATCGTCGAGTGACCTGGAGAAACACTCGTGGTGAAGGAAAATTTTAAAACGAAGGGAGGACATTTATTTATAAATTTTTCTCTGGACTTTTTTTTTATTATTAAAAAAATTCCGTGACTTTGGTAAAAGACATTTTTATATTTTTGTCGATTTTAGCAGCAAGTGGAGAGAAGAAAAATTTACTATAAAATTGATTAATTCCACATGAATTAAAAACAAATATTTATCTAAACAAATTGATTGGATAAAATAATTGAAATGCATCAATTTTTCTCTCAATGTATTTTTTATTAGCGAAAAAGGCAATGACTGGTAAAAATTACAATTATTGGTCGATTTTCATCTAAAAGATTTTAGTTTTACTAGACAAAATGTTTCGCTAAAATTTTATGCACAAAAAAATCTCTAATTAAAAAAGATCCATTGGCGAACATTAGAGGAACTTATTCGTCCTTGCACCTAAGTGTTCATGAGACTGAGTTACAAAATCCCACCTGTCCAAACATTTTAATCCGTAAAATTGCAAAACATCTGAGAAGTCAATGTGCGCTATTATCCAGAGGCACACGAGGCGCGTCGATCGGTAGCTGCACCTAGCCAGCACTTTGGCGCACTCACAGACGAAAATAAGAGGAGAAAAATCCCGAGGGTCGAATAGACACCACTCAGCGTACACGCATGTGCGAACACAGATGCAAAGACGCCAAGATATTTTTGAGATCACTTTCACTAACTCAGCATTCCGCCGATGCTGGAAGACCGCTGGACTAGACGCAACCGATCTTTTCGTTTACTGCGGCGCATACGACGAACCGGTCCTGGGGTCAGATCTGTCTGGGCACCTATCCAGATAAACCACGACACTGAACGATTTCATTATGCACTCATTTGTCCAGATTAATTTGTGATGTCGAATTTAATTTTCTTGATTTCGGTAAACAAAAATATTTCAAACTCTTACATTCACTGTTACAAATTTTTGTCTGAATTTTCCGTGCCAAATTCCGGAAATTTTTATCGTGTTCCAATTTCATGGTAATTTCAGGAAATCTTGTCATTAAAAATGCACAATTTCGTGGAAAAATAAAACCGGATTGTCAATTTGCTTTCTATTTTTCCCTGAAAGTGCATAGAAAACCAGAAAATTCTGGTAAATATATTCCTGAATTTTCAGGACAGTGACACTGAATGGAATTTAGGGGGGGAAAAATCATGAAATTTCAGATTATTTACTGTCTTAGGACAGTTATTCTGTCTCAGGACAGATATTGGTAAAAAACCAAGTGTTGACTGTGTAAAAATTAAATATTTCATCCTCCGATGACGAAATCCCCTGGAATTTCGATGCGGATGTCACATAATAAAATTATTCGCCACTTGAAGAGTGAAATTTAATTTTCAGGCGTCAACTTTTATTACTCAACATCCAGATCTCACTGAAGTCGGGATAAATCATAGGAACAAATCCCTAATGATGAGATAATTTTTCCCAAAATTTTCTCTTCATGCGGCATCAACAAAGCAATCAGAATACCATTTTCCACGAACTAATTCTTCAGCTATCTGGAGCACACACCGAGTGGCGAAACCATTATAAAAAGCGTTCAACAACTTAAAA